AGTTGAATGATTTATAGAACACATCTTGCTTATATATAGTACAAATTTAAAGAAAATTCCAGTTAAACATGTACTGACAACTAAAGAAAAAAAATGCCTATTGTATGAACATGATGTATAACAAGAACCTTAACATCAAAACCTATACACCATCAACCATTCCATCCATAGACATGATAACTTACCCAATAACCTCTATATCTAGCCGATATCACAATCTGACTCTGTTTCATCTTTTTATATATCATTAGCTGTTTCCATCCCTTCCATACTTTCTGTATCATAACAGCCAAATCTTCCATTTTATCTCTTCTTCTCTCTTCTATTTCAAATAACTATAAATATATTATTTATAGATATAATAATAACAAATCTTTATGAATATAATCTTTATGAATATAATCTTTCAAGACATAATCATAACAAATCTTTATGAATATAATCTTTCAAGATATAATCATAACAAATCTTTATAAATATAATCTTTATAAATATAATCATAACAAATCTTTATGAATATAATCTTTCAATATATAATCATAACAAATCTTTATAAATATAATCTTTATAAATATAATCACAACAAATCTTTATAAATATAATCTTTATAAATATAATCATAACAAATCTTTATAAATAAATTCTATAAACAGATTCATCTGGTTCAAATTTATCTTTTTGATGCTATGGCATCTGAGAAAGGTACTCAGTATCCATTGGTTAGATTCCTAAAACTGATTTATCAACCATGCAGAAGAAATTTATTACTTAGTTTACACTTTGAAGAGAGATGTTCATAAGTATTCAACAACCCTTTGCTCCAAATTTATCAATTGAAATCTTATGATGTTTAGCATGTTGTCATCTTCAGGACAGATTAAATCTACCTAGGTGTGATCATGTGCTGTATAATCTATAATCAACCAGTATAATCTTGAATTTTGTTAGTTTAAACTTACCGTCTTTGGATTTCTTATAAAGATTTTGGTTTTTCCAAAGGCATATTCTTCACTGGGAATATTCTGACTTTCCAGAACTAATTTCACACCTTCCTTAGCTTCACCTTTCCAACTCGGCCATGTTTCTTTAGCTAACATTTTATATCTATATAAGAATATGCTATAAGATTGTCTAAAGGCGTAACCAGCACGTTTTACTCTTACATTTTCCATCAACCTACAAAATAAACCACTTGGATAAAGTATAAGAAATTTAAAATTCTGTCAAAAGTATAAAATTATTTTCACACTATATCAATGCTACATGTTACTTTGTACTGATCATAACTGACCTTTTCTGCCAGTAATTTAAGCTC